CCCCGCCCCCGGGGCTGATGGGAAACAACCCCCCCCCCCCCCCCCGGGGGGGGTCCCACCTTCACCCCCCCCCCGAGATGACGTAATGGATGCATGTGACGTCATCAGCCGCGGGGGGGGGCGCCTCAAAAATCACGGGGGGGCCACGCCCCTTTATTTGGGGAATTTGGGGACACCCCCCAGCAAGAATAAAGGGGGGGGACACACTTTCCAGACCCCTAATTTTGGGGGGGGGACACACGTTTTTATTGGGGTATAACCAGGATGGGGGGGGAATTTGGGGGACCCTCCCAAAAAGGAATAAAATGGGGGGACACACCCACACTCCAGACCCCCAATTTTGGGGGGGGGGGGGGGAATTTGGGGGACCCCCCCAAAAAGGAATAAAAGGAGGGACACACCCACACTCCAGATCCCCAATTTTGGGGGGGGACACACACTTTTACTGGGGTACAACCAGGATGGGGGGGGACTTTGGGGACCCCCCTAAAAGGAATAAAAGGAGGGGGAACTTCCAGACCCCTAATTTTTGGGGGACACAGTTTTACTGGGGTACAATCAGGATGGGGGGGGAATTTGGGGGACCCCCCAAAAAAGAATAAAAGGAGGGACACACCCACACCTAGACCCCCAATTTTTGGGGGGGACACACCTTTTTATTGGGGTAAAACCAGGGGGGGGGGGGAATTTGGGGGACCCCCCCAAAAAGGAATAAAAGGAGGGACACACCCACACTCCAGACCCCCAATTTTTTGGGGGGGGACACGTTTTTATTGAGGTACAACCAGGATGGGGAGAAATTCCCAACAGGAATAAAAGGGGGACACACCCACACTCCAAACCCCCAATTTTGGGGGGAGAAGACATGTTTTTATTGGGGTACAACCAGAATAGGGGGGGGAATTTGTGGGACCCCCCCAAAAAGGAATAAAAGGGAGGGACACACCCACACTCCAGACCCCCAATTTTGGGGTCTCCAGGCAGCCCCCCCCCTTTGAGGGGAGACACCCCAAGCTGGGGTGGGGGAACCCCCACATTTTTGGGACCATTTCCCACACTTTTGGGATCATTTCCCATACTTTTCGGATCATTTCCCACATTTTTGGGACCATTTCCCATATTTTTGAGATCATTTCCCATATTTTTGGGGTCGTTTCCCAGCCCTGCCCCCGCCGTGCCTTTGAGGGAGGGGCTGTTTTAGGGGTGTCCCTCCCCCCCCCCCCCCGGCCCTGAGCACCCCCTCGTTGTGTGGGGGGTATTTTGGGGGGGGTTTGGGGGGTTTTTTGGGGGGTCCTTAGGCCTGGATGCTGCTCTTGGTGCTGAAAGCCAGGTAATAAACCACGAGCCCGATGGCAGCGGCCACGACCTCCGTGGACACCCAGGGCCCGTTCCAGGCTCCCTGTGGGGAAAGGGGGGGTCAGAGGGGCCCCCCAAATCCCCCCCGAGCTCCCCAGACCCCCCTCATCAACCCCCAGCCCCCCCTAGGACGCCTGAACCCCCCCCCCGGGCTCTGGAATGAGGAGTCACCCTCCAAATGTGTCCCGATATCCTGGGGTGGGGTCACTAAAATTCCCTTGGGACGCCCCAAAATCCCACTGGCAATCCCTTAGAAACACTGGGACACCCCAAAATCCCCCTGTGTGCCTCCTAACGACCCCGGGACAACCCAAAATCCCAGTGCCAAACCCTTAAAATGCTGGGAAACGCTCAAAAACATTTAGAAACACCCCGAAGTCCCACTGTCTGCCTCTTAAAAATCCTGGGACACCCCAGGAAACTGGGATGCCCCAAAATCCCAGGCTCACCCCCTGAAAATCCCAGGGACACCCCAAAATCCTGCTGGCATCCCAACCCTAAAAACCCTAGGACACCCCAAAATCCCGGTGTCCCCCTCCCCGACCACCAACACGCCCCAAAAATCCCGCTTACGAACACTGGGCCACCCCAAAAACCCCACTGTCACCCCTCGAAATCCCTGCCACACCCCAAAACCGCCCTCCAGGAGGGCCCAGGACCCCCCCAAAGCCCCCGAATCCCCCCCAAAACTCCCGAATCCCCCACAAAACCCACCCTGTGATCGACGTTGACGGTGAAGAGGGGCCGGATCCGCGACACGTCCTCGTTGTTCCGCTGGGCCTGGGGGGGGGGAAAAGGGGGGGAAAAGGGGGGCTCAGGGAGGGGCTGGGACACCCCCCCGAGAGGAGGGGGCTGCTGGGGGTCCCCCCAGGAGGCAGAGGGGGGGTCCTGGGGGTGCCCACCTTGCGCAGGGCACTGTAGGACTCCTCGTCGAAGAACTTCACCTCGTAGGTGCCCGACTGGGCGTGGCGGTGCTCCAGGCTCCAGGACACCTGGGGGAGGAAGGGGGAAAAAAGGGGGGCTGAGACCCCCCCACAGAGCCCCCCCAAACTCATCTGAGCCCCCCAGGGCCCCTCCAAACCCCCCCC